CAAACTAAAATATAAATTGTTTTCACACAAATGTTACCTGACCTTCTCAGACAGGTTGTCATTAGCGGCTATGAGTATGCCCAAACTTCCTCACACACACAAAATAACCCCCCATCCCATTTCTTCCAGCATTACCCAACATGTTGCTTATTTTAATGTGTACTTATATTTCTTTGGACTGTATATACCCTAAGAACCAAGATTTCTTAATTCATTTATATAATCCCAGTTCATCTAACTGGATTTAGCACAAGCAGCTACTGACAAATTAACTGTTACATGGCTGAATGGGAAGGCTCACCTTTAAAAACTTAGTATTAAGATAAGTAATATTATATGGGCTCAACAGGTTGTATTTAGGAACATATATATATATATATATATATATATATATATATATATATACACACACACACACACACACACACACACACAAATACATATATGCACGTAACAATGACTGCTGAAAAAAGAGATTATGAATTAGAAGTAGAGTCAGGGAGGCATATGGGAGGGTTTGGAGAAAGAAAAGGGAAGAAATATAATTCAAATACAATCTAAAAGTAAGCAAAAAATATTCTAAGCTAAAACTAAGACATTATTAACAGGACATACTGTATAAAATTTTACAGTGAGGTAAAATTTCAAATTATTTCCTAATACAGAATAGATGAGAAAATAATTTACAAGATAGAAAAAACCGAAAGGGAACCAATGTTGATAAATATTAATAAAAAATACTGAAGACAGAGGAATTTAGTGAGCTTAGGAGAAAATCAGAGGCAAAGTAATTGAATAGGCATAAAATTTAAGTGCAAAGAGGAATGACAGGAAATTGTAGAGTCCCAAGTGGAACAAACGGTCCTGACAAACAACTGTACCAAGAAAGAGAATCAGTTGGAAAGAAGACAAGAAGGTCAAGACAGCAAAGAGCCCTCAGGAAGAATGATAAGGCCCAGAGGTGGAAGAGCTGCTATGGGGATAAATTGCGAAGGTCAGAGTCAAGTGAAATCCAAAGGCAAAGTACAGCATCAGCAGAGGGACTCATGTATGTGGGCAGGATACAGAAATAGCCACGCATCTCTACTCCCACTCCTCCCCCTTCCTAACTGTGATACACAGCTCACACAACAGTGTCTTTCAGGAGACAGGACTACCAAGAGAGCCGAACCCTAAGTAAAAGCTAGTGAGGTCACTTACACTGCCACCTAACAGGGTACCAGTTCAGAGGTATGATGGGAAAGCTCAGCAGGAAACTGTACTTCTGCCCACAGTAGAAAGACACTTCCCTTGGTGTTTAAAGATTTCTCTAATACAGAAAGGGGCTGACTATCATTTTTTAAAAAGCAACTGATATTGTTAATTATTTTATCTTCTTCCCAGGAAGTACTTCAATTTTGTCTTGGTCTCCAATAGGTAGCAAAAAGCCCCACTTTAAAAATACTGCTGTTGGTTTTTTAAACAGAAAGACTATTTTAATGAAACTTTAGTTTTTATAAATTTTGCTTATCTACAATCTAATTACTTATTAAATCTAAAACTAATTCCTTGATCTCCTCAGCAATTTCCTACACTGGAAACATGTGTCTTTCTTTTTTTTTTCATTTCAAAATTACCTTTGTCAATCAATGTTTACATTGGTAGCTATTTTATAACCTTGCCTGTTCTTGTTTGCAAAGCAACTTAAGCAATCCCATGTTTTAGGAAGGTCTCTGTATCTTACTCTTGCCACTGTGTATTCTTTGAGAAGCATAACAAGTAATTACAAATCAAAGGCTGGAGAGGTCTTCTGTCAAAGCAACCTTCTGTTCATCACTGAGAACAAACAAACAACAAACAAATGGCTTTCTTCAGGGGTCTTGTAAGCATCCTTTAATCTCAGCCAGTATGTCTCTCAGTCAGCAGTGGCAATGTGCACCATTTCCTACTATTGATTCTCTGAAACGTCACAAGTTCATTTAGGAGTCTGAAGAGCAAGAGCCTCACTTCTATAATCCATCTAAGGAACTGAGCTCTAAGATGCAGTATACAAACAAAAACGAACAGGATAGTTTCCAGCAACTACATAATTATCACATTGGAACCTATTAAAATACAGTGTTTATATAGTTGAAAATATTAAAAAGAAAACAATTATTCATTTGGAAAAAAACTTTAGGCATTTCTAGAGTTATGGTCCAAGAACCTTTGAGGAAAAAAACAGAATAGAAGATGGAAGAAAAGGAGGAGAAGAGCAAGAGGAAGAAGGAAAAAAAGAAAGAAGAACAACAAGGAAGAAGAAAAAAGGAGAAAAAGATTAAAATAAAACCAATCAACAAAATAAATCACAGAAACAAGACACTGTCATCCTAGAAGGCCTATAACCTTTTGATTTCAATGTTCTTGTCTCCTGCCCTGAGACTGCATATTTCGTGATTTTCAAGTTGTACCCAGCAGTCCCTGCCTATACCTTTGCCCTGAAGCCTCCGTAACCTAAAATGCTTCATTACAGCTAATCTCAGTCAATCACAGCAACCTTCCAACCAGAAGCTGTATCTCCTCAATGTCTACATTTGATCTGCTTACCCCCGCATTGCAAGCAGCCAAAGGTTAGGTGAAATAGTTTATGTTTTGAATCCTGGTCAGAACTACTACCAGCAGAAAACTCTACCTTGTCACTAATCATTCCGGATGGTCCTCTGTTCCAGGAGTAGGTTCTGTGCTTGCATATGTGCATCTCCCTCTCTTTCCTTCTCATGCCCTCTCATTTCCTATCGCTGAAAATAAGAATGTTCTTTTCAATCTAGGTTCATTTTCTGTAGTTGTATTATAAAGCCACATACTGAACAATCACTGTCTCCATCAACGTGAGCTTCCTCAGACCAACCTCACTTCAAATTACACTGTTTGGGTTCCTTAATGAACTAAGTAAATCATCTCCGTTAATATATTCAAATTTTTATATTATATCTAGGTCATCTTTTCCTATTGAAAAGCTTACACTAGCTTATACTAGCAAATTTTTATTCCATATTTGACTCCTATTTTTTAAAAAATATTTATTATTAAAGGGTCACAAAAAAACATCTATAGCTTATTTTTCAACATACTGTTATCAAATTAGAAACATTATACTCTAGGACAGACAACTTATGGCAGCCATCACAGTTGCTTCTATGTCTCCAGGCTTCAAAGCCTCAGCACATGCAGACACCATTCCATGTGGGTACAGAACCACCTTTTACACTTTGTAAGGTGATACATTAAGCTTACTCTGATTTCAACTGGCATATTCCACAAAACCGAACACATTCTAGTTAACAGTGATTCATTGTGCCATGTGTACCATTAAAAAGTAATTATAAACCCACAAAACAGTGGATTTAGAAGGATTTCAAGATGATTTAGGATAATTCTAACCATGGGAGGAATCTGGTCAAAGATTAGTTTAGCAACTTTCTCAGCTATTAAAATGATCCATCAGTAAAAAACATTTCTATGAAATCCAAATCCCAAACTAAAAGTCGCCCTCAAAATGTTCACACATAAAATAATTGTTTAAATCTGAAAATTTTCTAATAAAACCAACAAAGGCTAAATAGGCTTATGAATCTATCTACAAACATATCTAAAAAGATTCCTAGTTACCTTAAAGGATCTTAGGAAATTTCAACACTTTCTATTTTGCTTCTGCGTGTATGCTCTTCCCTTGATACAAGAAGGCACTAATGTCACCCAGTTTCTCATACAAAGTAGTTTTCGGTGCCCAGATAAAATGAGAACAAGCCTTCCACGCTAGTTTTTGAAAAGGACAACTAGCGTCAAGCACTAGACTACCGTTTTACAGTATTTTTACATAAGAAAACATACACAAAGGTAGAAAATAACTGGGTTAAGAATCATACTGGTGAGTGCATAATTTTATGTGCCTAAAAGGATTTATGGGGGACAAAAAGAAAGAACCTGAGGATCCCAAGAGCCTAAGGCAGGAATAAGCAAAGTTTCACTGCAGGGGACCATACATTTAAGGCGTCTATTGCTATGACTGACCTGTCTTGCAGTATGAAAACAGTAATAAACGTTAATGAATGGCTTCAGCTAAGCTCAAGAGACTTGTTATCGGGCTGGAGAGATGAGACAGCACAGCACTCAGTAGCACGGGCTGCTCTTCCAGAGAACCCAGGGTTTCATTCCCAGCACCCACATGGCAGCTCATAACCTACCATTTCTAACTCTAGTTCCAAGGAATCTAACACCCTCTTCTGGCTTCCAAAGGTTTCAGACATGCACGTAGTGAACAGACAAATATGCAAGCAAAACATCCATCTATATAAATACTAACAATTTTTAATTAAAAACTGTATTTATGGACCATAAAGTTTGATTTCACATAATTTTATAAGTCACAAAATTATGACTCTCTGACTTTATCAATGCTTGTTTATCAACCGTGAGACAGGTTCTCACTGTGTAGATCAGGGTAACCTAGAACTATGTATTCCGGGCTGACCTCAACTCATCACAATCCTTCTGCCTCAGCATCCCAACAGTTGAGGTTACAGGCATAATCCACCACGACCAGCTTTCAACACTCATTGAAATGTTTTTAACAAATAATCCTCCCTCCCCCAAATCATTCAAACTTCATGGTTTGAATAAAATACAGATAAAAAGAACACGAGGCATGCCTGAATCCGCCCTTCAGAATAGGAGCTGCTGATATCTGGCCTAAGGAACAAGGAGAAACTGAGGGGAATGGAGAGCTATTCATGAATATTCCCGAGTTAAACTAAACAGTAAAGCAGCAGCCCCATGCAATATATTTTACTATCAGACCCAGTTAGAAAGTCACATATTGCTGTCTTTAACATAAACATAAAAAAAATTCCCAAGAAATAATCACTGAGCCACAGGCAAAATTAACTCTCACCTAGATGATGTACCAGTTAGAATTTTCAACAGATAATTTGTTTTTCAGAAAGGTTCCTAAATCACAATGACGGCTATACCAAAATCATTACCATTTTGTCCCTGAGTCTCTCTCCACGGATAAAAAAGTCCGCACAGCCATTCTCTTCCTGATGAGGGGCTCTGAAAACGGTGACGCTGCTCAGTCCGCTCCCCCCGAGGGGCAGCCATCCACCACTTGAGTCATCTCTGGTCATCACCACAGCTCGCACTCGCGCATAACTGAAACAGACGAAAAGATCAGGAATTAGCTCTTCCGCAGACAAGAAGCCAAAGGCCACGTTAATTACTATGTAGTCACACTGGTGTGTGTATTACTTTCTTCCTAACAATCCATGGGGGGAAACACGCAAACTAAACGTTAGTCTTTATTTTGAAGGTTCCGCTCTCAACAAGACTATAGGTCTCCTATTTCAATTCATCGTTTTGGTAGACAGAGTGTATCTGGATCATCCTGCCCATGTGACCATGGATTCCACAGAGAACATGTCACTTTTCCTATGCATTCATTTGCTACAACATTACAACAAGGACAGATTATTGCTTTATTTATTATTTCTAAGTTCCCAACTGTTCTGGAATATATTATAAACAAAACGTTGCAACAAACATGCTTGGAAGCCTATTTTTTAAATTTTTCTTCTATCAATGGGGAGCATACACCATTTTTTATAAATAACAGAGGGATAAATGTCCTGTTTATTTATCAATCAAACATATCTGTGGAAACTTTTTGTGTTGTCAATCTACTCTTGAAGGTGGCCAGTTCCATTCCATAATGCTCTCCCCAAATTAACAATGATTCTTTGCATAAAATTGAGAACAATTACTAAATGCATTAAGTGTCCTATATAGCTGACATGTAAGCCTTCATTTCTGAAACTTTACCAATTATTAATAAATTCTTTTTAAGTCTGCATAATAAGTCATGCAGACTTTGAAGAGTATACTGGATACAACTTAGACATATGGTTAATTAAGAGTATCAGCTAAGTTCTACACAACAATTCTGTGCTCAAGATACCTCTGCATGCTCTAAGCTGCTTCTTGTCATTCATATGGTACTGCACTTGTCCAAAGCTTTTCCCTGCATTTGTTGATGTTTCCATTGTTATTTTAATTTTTTAAAATTATAAAATATAATTTCCCCTTCCCTTTAATCCCTTCAATTCCTACCATGTAAACCTTTATTATTTCTTTAATTGAGCTAAATTCATGCACAGTAGTATAGATCCATTTTAAATACACAGACACTACTGAAGTCTACAGATATGCATATATATGCAACTTGTTACAGGTGTTTGTGTCCCTCCAAAATGTGTTGCTGTCTAAACCCAAAGTTGGAGTATTTGGGTCATGAAGGCAAAGCCCGCATGATTGGGGTGAGCAGCCTCAGAGAACAAACTCTAAAAAGCTACTTCTTTTCTTCTCCCATGTAATGACAGAGCTAAAAAGGGGTCAGTCACCTATGGCCTGAAAGTGGACCCTCAACAGATAGCTTAATCTTGAAGTTCTCATCTTTCAAAAGTATAAGGAAGAAATGTTTGTTGATGACAATATATCCCACTTATACTTTGTCTTCTTAATAGGAGCCCAAATGGACTAAAACATATAGAACCACCATGGAAATTAAGATAGTCCATTTTTGTCACACCAGAGATTCCCACTTTGTCTTCTGTCTGATTTTATTTATAACATGCAGACAGTTTAGACCATGTTAAGTCTTCATTAAATTAAAGTAAGAAGTATTATCATTATACTTTTTTTTACTTTCTTATACTAAGAGGAACTTAGATCATTACAGTTTGGAAGCTATAATCAAGCCCTTATACAGATGTTTTCAAAATTTATTTCCTGTTTTTGAGAGGGTCTCATATTACCCACGCTGGCCTAGAATTCACTATGTAGCTGACAAGGACCTATACAAGTCTTTTAATAACGATTCTTCCATTTCTCTTAATTACCTAGAACATGCAATTATTTTTTTTTTATTTTGAACATGCAATTATTAAGTCACAAGGCAGCTGCATGTTAACCATGTAAGAAGTTAACTGTTTTCCAAAGTAGTTGTAATTATACTTCATCAAAAATGGTAACTTCATGGATTCCATATCCTACTAACGTTTGCTGTTTTCAGTATTTTACTGTTACTGGTTAGTATGTACTGTTAAATAAACAGCTGGAAAAAGAAGGTACCAAGCATGGTGGCACAACACTGACTCATACAGAACTGTAACCGGCTTGCATTAGTTTCATTTTCGTTTCTGAAATATTGCTGTTGTTTTGCTTCCCTATAAGTGTAGTAAGGTTGTGGTTTACTCAAGATACTAAAGGGGGCAAAGAGAAGATGACTAAACTGTTTAGATAGCACACACTGCTCTTATAGGATTCACATTCAATTCCCACTAGCTACCACCTGTTGGAGTTAGAGAGATATTCATGAGTAAAGATGCCATCAAGTGTATGACCTGAGTTTCATCCTCAACACCCATGTGGTAGAGATGAAAACAGACTCACCTAAGGTTTCCTGTGACCTCCACCCCAATGCCACAGCACAAAACCTCCCCACCAAAAGATATACAATTAACTGTTTTAAATCTTTTTTTAAAAATGATGCTGTAAGTTTACTTAACAGCAAAGAGATAGTATCCTAGTGATAGGACTTGAATATTATATAGAATTTTGCTCTTTAGACCAGAAATTCTTAGTCTCCCATTTTTATAACTTGGAATGTACTATGAATTCCCAAAACTGTTTCTCTGTATTTTGGGGGGATTTCCCCCCCCCCAAATTATGTGTATGTGCACATCAAGGGGTGTGTGTGTGCATGGACGCATCTGCAGAGACCAGAAGAGGAGATCATCCCCTGGAGTTGCTGCAAGCCACCTTATATAGGTAGTTGGGTCCTTTGAAACAGTAAGAGCTCCAAGTCACTGAGTCATCTCTTTAGCCTCACTGTCCCCCCCCCAACCCCAAACGTATACATATACGTGTATTGAAACATAAAGCTCTTTAACGGTATATGTATTTTTTTTTTTTTTAACGGAGATAGCATGCAACTTTAACCACAACATTTTCAATTAATATAAGAATCATGGCTACACAAAACAGAATTTCTTACACTGCTCTGGCTTCTCTCAGGTCTAGTTCCTAAGTATTTAACCACATGTCTGTAGTTTATGCTTTGCCTGACTGTCCTTAACATTTGTAAAATAAATTCTTTTCCTAATTTTTCTCTCCTCTGCCTCTGACTCTATCCTCTTCTATAATATATCAACTAACATACATCTTGATGTGAGCTTACTAAAAGGTTTATTTAAATTTCTGGCTTCCCAGCAACAATACAACAAATTCTACTGCCTTAAAGACACTAGAGCTGTGGTAATCTGTTCTAGCAGCAACAGGAAATGAATACAAAGGCATGAGAGAAAACCTTGAAGATATGAAATTATCTATACACAGGAGAGGGAAAACTACCATTTTCCAACAGCAAAAGATAATTAACTGTCCCTCTTCCCCACAAATTGAAAACTCCTAGAATCCTATGAGGTGTGTCCAGTACAAGAATTAGTTGTCCGTCCCTTCTACCCCACCCATGTGTGCTTACAGATAAAATATTTTGTTTTGTTTTTGAACAGTATTTGTTATGGTCATTTCAGACCCACACTTAACATTCAAACATTAAGGCAGACATTAAGGAAACTACCACATTACAACTCACTCATCTAGTCATTTAACTAGTGAGCACTATTTATATGCCATGCACATACACACAACAGGAAAACTTCACATCTCTCAGGTAGACATAACAAACAGATCACTAACATTCCCTTTATGGGGGGGGGGGGGATTACGAAGGGAAGACAGGATCTCACTATAAAGCCCAGGTTTGTCTTGGGACCTTCTGCCTAAATTTCTGGGTGCTGGGATTATAGGCTAGCACCACCACATTTGGCTTAACAGTCAATAATTAAGCCTTGTATACTAGGCATTAAGCCTTGTATACTAGGCTCAAGATTATTACTCATTACTGAGATAAAAGAATGAAAAATGCAGTAAGCATGGGAGGAGATTAATTTGTGTTTGCTGTACTAATCCTGAGGGTGGTTATTTTCCCACTTGAGTAAGAAAATTAAGGACGGAGTTGCAAAGTTTTAAGTCCAAATTACTCTTCTATATTAAGAAGTTTAAAAGTAAAAGAAACACTTCCCAGGTAGTAACCATCAACCAAAGGACCACATGGTATTCCGCCCAATACTAAGCAGGGCCTCCTGCCTTTCAAAGTCTATAGTAATGAAGTTCCAGGCTAGGAGGGACTCTTCTGTTGTTTTGCCCTAAGCATTCATAGCTAAACTGCCTTCTAAGTATGTGTATTTATATGCACAGACTAATGCAGCTCTTGGTTTGGTCAGGGTGATTTTGAAGCAGGGACCCATAACCGCTGAGAATAGGTGACTGGTGAATATTCACCCCAAATGGTGAATGTACGCCCTGCCCACTGAAGCCCAGGAAGCCTGGCTGAAGACAGCTGGAAGGACTGTGGGACCTGAAGGATGGGGAGAAATGTGGTAGGGGCCTGTTTTATGCACAACAAGCAGCAAGCAGTGACTTTCTTCTCAGGTAAAGGGAATCAATCTGGGTGGGGAAGGGAAGGGAGGAAAGGAAAAAGAGAGGGAGGAGAGGAGACTGAGTGTAGGAAGAAGCCAGCAAGAATAAGAGGGTGAAGATAGCGGGTAGTGGAGAGTAGATGAATGTAATCATAGTGCATTGCAAACAGGCATGATACTGTTAATTTTCTCAAAAAGTAGAATGAGTAGCATATACTAGAGCCAATTCAAATAACATAGGATGTTTATATGCATGTATCTATATGTCCGTTATGTCTGTGTGTTCTAGTATGGTTTCTGTTGTTATAAAACACTAACCAAAAAGGAAGTTGGGGTAGGAAAGGGTTTTATCTGGTTTATACATTATAGGTTATAATCTGTCATCAAGGGAAGTCAAGACAAAAGCTCAAGGCAGGAACATGAAGGCAGGAGTAAAGCAGATACCATGGAAGAAAGCTGCTGCTTATACAATCCAGGACTATCCACCCAGGCCTGGTACCTACCCATTGGGAGCTTGGCTTCCCTACCTCACAGATGAATCAAGAAAATGCCCCAAAGCCATGTCCACAGGCCAGTTTTATGGGGCAACTGAGAAACTTTCTTCCCAAGTAACTC